GTGGTCCTCCAATAAAGTGAAGGATTGGAGGGATATTTTCTTTACTACTTGTTGGTTTTTGTGGAAGTGGAGAAATTTGGAGATCCATGAAGATCATTTCTGTCATGATGAGCAATCACAGGCTTCAATTTGGATGTTTGTCCAACAGATTCTGCAAGCCCGAATTTATCAGCGCCGTGGTGATTCCAACGATAGCGTTTGGACAGCCCCCAAGCAAGGGTGAGTTAAGTTGAATTGTGATGGAGCTTCTTCTAGTTGCATGAAAAAAGCTAGTTGTGGTGGTATATTAAGAGATCACAATGGATCCTTTTTGGGAAGCTTCTATTGTAATTTAGGTTCCTGCAATCCTCTTGATGCAGAATTATGGGGATTACTGAAAGGTTTGGAACTGCTTTGGGGAACAGGATTAAAAAGAATAGAGCTAGAATGTGATTCTAGCCAAGCCATCCAGATGTTAAAGGAGCAGCATGAAGATCCTAGGGACTCTCAAGTCACTAGCAGATTGAGATTATGGTTAAAAGCAGATTGGACTATTCATCTTGTTCATACCAAGAGAGAAAACAACAAATGTGCTCATTGGTTAGCTAAAGCTGGGCAGACTAATAATCTCCATTTCAAGATTTTTAAAGATCCTCCTCCTCAGTTGATGGAACTTATAGTTGCTGATGCTAGAAATATGTCTAGTTTGTTAGTTTCTGATTTGTAATTTCTTTCTGTTTCTGGGGTTTAGCCCCTCTTTATTTAAAAAAAAAAAAAAGAGAAAGTTTTATACATCAAGACATTTTTTTTACCGAATCACAAAGAGTGCATCGTGTTAATTCTTAAATATTATTTATGATTAGCATAAAAGTATTAACAATTATATTGACTAATTTAAGTACACAATTAGAAAAATCTTGTATTGCAAAATGTAATTTTATTCGATTTTTATCTCTTTTTGATGCGTTGGCCCATTATTTGAGAAATATTTATTATGGTTCAGGACCACCCAATAATCTGGTACTCCTTCTCACATTATTAATTTTTTCTCTTTTTTTATCCCTACTATTTTTTTTTTCAATTTTATCTTTTCATTTACAATAAGAGACTACTTAAAAAATAGTAGTTCCGTACCACAATAAATAATATCGATTACTTGAGACTTGCGGGAGAGAGAAGAGGCAGAGCCACGAGGCATGGACCAGAGAAGCGGTTAGCAGGAAGAGAATAAGAAAAAGAAAGGAGTGGGGCCCATCGGATCTGAATTTTTTTATTTATCGAGCAGGAGGCCCACGGTCAGGTCCAGAAAGTAACCAAGTGGACCCCGTTTCTAGATTCTTGACCACTTGTGAACTCGTTGCGGATTTCAAATCTATTTTGAGTTTCCCTTGTGCTTGCATTGGCCCTTCACCCTTTCTATCCTTCACGTGTTACCTTTTGAAAAATGCCCATATAAATAAATTTTTCATGATATAATGCTCTGCATGCAACCCATTTTATTTAAAAATAATGCTATGTTACGTCAGGTTATCTCAAGAAAGAAAATATCCTTTTTTTTTTTTTTATGGGTAATATTTCTATCATAAAATATGATATAGAAAAACATTCTTACTCACACATCGAATATTATGTCATCATTTTTTTTGTTTTTTATTTTTTTTCATGATGGATCCCACCAAAATTTATTTGTGTAAGAAATTGATTTTATATTATGTTATATAACATATGTATTTCTCTTTTTTTTATTGTCACTTTTTTTAGTGCGCTTTCAATTCTATACCAAACAGTTGTGTCAGTCTCTGTCATTAAAGGGTTTAACTTTTCTTATGTTTTAGGATTGTAGGAGACAAAAAAAATAGAGAGAAGTTAAATGTGGGTCTCTTATTTTATATTAAAAAAGAAAAAAAAAATTAATTAGCACGAAAAACGAATTTGTGTAGGAAAATGAGAGTATCTCATGTGGCATGAGAGTATTATTTCCCGTCATTAAATTACGTTATTAGGGCTTGCTTTTTGTAATATTTAATATGGCATGACGGCAGGTGATAAAAAGTGCCAAATAAATAATATCAGAGAGAGGACTTTTGTATGTGTCTTTAATTAGTCGATCGGTTAGAGGAAGCGATTATGCTTGTCAATGAAACAAGAAGCTGATTGGCACGCCAAAAACAGAGTGAGTGATTGCTAGCTCACTTTATGGGGAAATTTTCTTATGGGAAAATAATTATTATATAATAAATTAAGGGTTTGATTTTTTCATGTTGCATGAGAATTCAATTATTATGTTGTGACTTAATTAGTGATGAGCTTCACATTTATTAAAAAAAGAAAAGAAAAGAAAAGCTTTGCATGCAAATCGAAAGGTCACAATATGATAATTAAATTCTCATATAACATGAGAAAATGTTTTCCCGATAAATTAATGCAAAGAATTAGATTGTAAAAAAAAGTCAATTAGTTAATTGAATTAATAATTACATAATATAATTATAACTATAGGTATCCTTTTTAGAAAAATTAATGATTCTCACTTGTTAAACCTTGCAGTGTAATTTAAATTCGATTTGTAAATAAATTATTTTAACCCCTGCGGTGTAATTTCATGGTTAAATTTACAAAACAAAGGTTGGTACTTGGTAGTAAATACTAGTAATGATGGAAACAACCCACCTTCACCAAATAAAGACGTAAGAATTGAAACAGGAAAAACAAGGACGCTGACGCACGTTAAGGAGACAAGAGGAAATGCATTTGTACACACTTTATGACCTGGCAGGCATGTCCCCAATATGATATGCTGAGCAACCTAAATACCGAAAAATAGCATGGCCTACTTCATCTGCGGAAGCAATGAAGCTGCATAGGTTAACATGGGTTGGGGACATGTTTGATTTAACTTATCCGTGAAATTAGACCACGTCCTAATTTTTTCTGGTCATCAACCTTTTCACGCCACAAGCTGCTGCTTAGTTGGTACTTGACAATGGACGCACAGTGCCCGCGCAAGCAAAATAATATTGGTAGTACCATTATGATATCTGAATCGTGAAGCATTGCATTATTCATATGACACACTCTTTTTGGCTTTCACTGAGTGTCTCTATATTTTTGTGGTTGTAGGACTAATCTCTTCGTAGGTGTTTAATGACGTTGTCCTCCTTACCATAATATGCTGCCAATGAAATCAAGATTTAAAGTTTACACTAAATTATATCCAAAACAAAAAACAAAAAACCTTTACAGTAAATGTTAGGTGGGTCTAGAGGAAGCTCTAGGGGGAGATTATTATCAATGAATTAAAGTTGGGTTTTATTAGTGTTATGTAACATGATGTAAGTGTTGTTTCCAACTCTCACATCAAAATGGAGAGAGAAAGTAGAATGATGAAAGAGAAAGAAAAACATGTGGACCCCACCTCTTTAATATGTGTGTAGGAAAATGAAGTTATATTATGTTAAATGATTAAACATAAAATCCATTAAAGTTATACTGTCATATTAAATAGGTCCTACACTGTGTCACAACCACTTTATAAGATAAGTTGCCAATCATCAAGCGGGGGAGGTGAATATGGGGGGGGAAAAAAAATCAACCTTATGATTGATCTCTTTAAGATATCTAATAATACTTTTTGTGAAAAACAGCAATCATCTCAACAAGTGCGAGGTAACGCAAACAAGCAAACAATGAGACCCATAAGAGATAAGATGAAGAAGAAAAAACAAAACAAGAACAACATTCAGTAATCCAGCTTTTAATTTCAAGTTATTATTTTCCCATACAACTCTCTTTTGTGACCTAGTTGTAACTAAACTTTAGATGAGATGATTTTTATGCACACAACATTCAGTAATCCAGCTTTTAATTTCAAGATTATTCTTTTGTTAATGAACATTTTACTTTTTGTTTTGATTTTTCTTAATAGTTCTATAAAATCTTTAAAATGTATCGACTAGCTAGAAAATACATGTGCAAACAAACTTTTTAATTATGTATTATATAATGATAATTTATGAAGTTTTTAATCATTCTTTGTCCGCAATTCCCAATCATCAACTTGCTGTCGCCTAATTATTGGCTACAACCCTCTTTTTAACCTTTTCTTTCATATCATTTTCTACGTACAAATTCTTGTTCTGATAACAATTGTAAGTCAAAATAAGAGTATCTGCGTATCACGTAATGATAACCGTTCGCAATAATAATATATAACATTTTATTTTGTTGTGGCGTTTTGCGAATGAATAATCTTTCCCGTGCATATATCATCTCACATTTACATAATTTTTATGATTTAATTAGAATTATGTACATCTACGTTTTGATCATGTTGCCTCGCAATGATACTTGCATCAAACATTTTGCTCTATTGGTCCATAGTTGTAAGACAGATACTAAATATTTCAACCCGCGAAAATTGTTTCTTAACTACCCTTGATGGGCCCAACCCAGTATATGGACATGTTGTTTAAATAGAAACAAAGTTGATGGGCTAGGCCAGTGGAGCAATTTGTTGGGCCTCTTAAGCAGTTTTATTTTATCTTTTTTTATTTAATAGGCATAAAAAAATGGAATTTAATTAAAATTTGTTAATGTTAATCAATAGAGAGATAATTACAACATTTGAACCGATGAAATCGTGTAAAATTTTAAAAGGAACCAGATGAGCAAGCTCACTTGACTCCGGCTCAAAGTCCAAACCTGTTGAAGAGACTTACTTGATCACTGAAAGCTCAAGAAATATTACGAAATGATATATCTGATCATTTTTTCATCAGCACAGAAAAATTAAAATATTATTGATTTTATTATTTGATCTTCATCATTTATTATTTTAATTTATATTGTCGCACGAAAAACCTCATCAGTCAGGATGGCCGAGTGGTCTAAGGCGCCAGACTCAAGTTCTGGTCCTCGTGAGAGGGCGTGGGTTCAAATCCCACTTCTGACATAATAGTAAGTTTTTTTACTTCTTCATTTTTTTTTTTCTCCCATAGCGTTAAGACTCAACTAAATGATACGATAGAGTATAGAAATCTGTTTGATGGAGTCCCTGAAACGTTTCACTAAACCCTAACAAGAAGGACCCGTACAAAAGACCAACAACCTTAACAAGAACGTTTTTTTGTGGCGACATGGAAATGGACCAGGACGAGGAAGAGTGTCACCAAGGTCAAGGAAGCTCTGGAGTGGCTAAACAAACCCCAGAGCAACTCGTGGCTAGGGCCATAGCTCCTGTCAAGAAGGACTTCCTTCGTCCTCCTCCTGTTCGGGCTCCCTCTTCAAACGACGACGTTTCCCTCACCAACGATAAGGCTCCTGTTGTGGTTAAGGAGAAGAAGTCTAAGCGCCAGCTCAAACGCGAACGTCGTCAGGTAAAACTACTTAATCTTCTTTGGAACATTCGACATTTTTTATTTTAGTGAACTTTGGATTTAGATAAGGTTGCTTTCGAACCTTGCAGGATCAAAAGTCAGCACGAAACCTGTGTCCGGAAATTGCAAAGACAGGTGATGTTAGTTCATGTCGTTACAAAGACAATTGTCGCTTCAGCCATGATTTAGAAGCCTTCAAGTCACAGGTATTGAATTGGTTTGATCCCCGCAATAGTTTTGTTTATTTTTCTTGGAAGTATTGTTTGTGTCTACCCTAAGTCCCTAATTACAAAGAGGCATTTGTAAGTGCAGAAACCAGCTGATCTAGAAGGAAAGTGTCCTTTCTTAAAATCTGAAGGCTCTTGCCCTTATGGCTTAGCGTGTAGATTTTCTAGTACGCATCAAGATGGTATTCCTTCTGGCAATCTGAATGGTCTGAAGAACAGTTCTGAGGTAAATGGGTTAAGCAAAGATGTTCAAAAGCTTTTGTGGAAAAATAAGATGAGCTTCGCCAAGGCAGATGCCAAACTCAAAAGTCTTGGCCTCGTGGTATGTTTGTTTATTCTTTCTTTCTTGTTGCTTGCTTCTTCGGCTATGTTTTTTTTTTTTATGTTTTATAGTTTATTTCTCCTTCTCCGTAGAAAATGCCATGAAAAGATGATGATTTAACCTGCTGTAGATAGGGGAATAAATTAAAGTCAATAAGGTTAAAACTGTGTCTTTCTAGCATGTTTTGTTGCTTAGCTGGTTATGAGGCAAACTACTAATATAAAGTGTGTCTTTCTTGCCATTTTCTCCTGGTATTTTCCTGATTCTTCTTCTGTCTAAACTCTAATAATAGCTTCACTAAAATACTGGGTAAAAACTGTCACTGTTAATGTTCCTTCCTTGGGTTCAAATTATGATTTAAAAGGGCAAACCCCAGTGCACAAACTCCTGAACTTGCGAGGGTAGGGTTGAGGATTGATTGTACACAGCCTTACCTTTGCATTTTTGCAAAAAAACTATTTTCCATACTTGAACCCGTGACCTTCCAGTCACAAGGAGCAGCCTTACCATTCCTCCAAGGCTCGCCCTTCAAATTATGATCTGGGAAAGAATAAAGATATTATATTAGTTTGAGTTTTTAGTTGTTCTCCTTTAAATCTGGCTTTTATGTACATGTAACTTCCTTTTAATTTTTGTTTTTTAATTCCATTTTGATTAATCATACCTTTTTTTTTTATAAATGTTATAGGGACTCTCCAAGTCGAAAAGGAATGACTTGGAAAATAAAGATGGGGGCAACACGGTTTCAAATAAATCCGATCATTCTGAAGACAATGGCTCTTGTGTAGTTACCTCCGACTCAGGCTCTAAGTTAGAATGCTCTGCAGAAGTTATAAAAGATGATGAATCAGATGGAAAATGTGAATCTAATGCACTTTGTCCCCAGAAGAGAAGAAAAACTGCGGAAAATTATGGTTCTGGGGAGACAGAAAATGAAGGTTATAGCTTCATCTTCAACTTTAGCAATTATGGTTTATGATTAATATGATGACTTATTTAATATTCTTTTACCTGCAAGTCTAGTGTTACTTAGCTTAATACTGCTGAAACAGATGTGAGTGTTAATGAGCAAATTACTGAAAGTAGCTGCATAACATCTGAACCAGAAGCTGGAACTGATGTTACAACCCCAGAAACCGATCTAAGCCTGAAGTTGCACTCACGTGAAAAGAAGCTTATTGATTACAGGGAGAAGTTGTATCTTGCACCCTTGACCACTGTTGGAAATCTCCCTTTCCGGAGAGTTTGCAAAGTATTAGGAGCTGATGTAACATGTGGTGAAATGGCAATGTGCACAAATCTTTTGCAGGTACATATATGGATTTTCTACTAGTTAATTTGATTGCTTCCTTTCATCCTTAGTATGATGCATATCTTCTTTCTGGAGTTTGTATCCTGATATACTGGCTACTGTACTTCTTTCTTGTGAAAGTTTTAGCAGCGCTCGATCTAATACGAATTTCTGGCAGTTCTCATATAGTTTGATATCTCTGTCTTTTCTTCCGAAAAATCAATTTATCAAGTCAATTTTTATCCCCATAAATTGACAATGTTGCATTGAAGGGCTCTTCTGAATGTGGAATCCTTATGCTTGGTTAAAACTCACTTGTGGACTGCTGATCTATCATCTGGAATGGAAGTTATTATTTTTCTTCTACCTTAGCTTTAACTCCATCCTTTTTTGTATAGTTTTCTGAACATTTGAACCATCTATTTTTCTTTTTACGGTGAATCTGTATTTATTTACATTCCATGTGTTGTGGTTTTCCTTTGATGATAGGGTCAAGCTTCAGAATGGGCATTGCTGAGACGTCATTCATCTGAAGATTTATTTGGTGTACAAATCTGTGGGGCATATCCGGATACTGTGGCACGAACAGTTGAACTAATAGAGCAGGAATGTTCAATAGACTTTATTGATATAAATATGGGTTGCCCTATTGACATTGTTGTGAATAAGGGTGCTGGATCAGCTCTTCTTACAAAACCAATGCGGATGAAAAATATTGTAGCAGTAGCTTCAGGCACAGCGGACATACCAATAACTGTCAAGGTATTTGTCATGCTGAACACTATACAGTTGGACACAACATGATTTTGTCAAATTCCAGTTAGCATCTTGATAGCTTCCTCCCTTTCTTCATATGTTATGTGGCTATGCGATTTTTGCCAGGAAAATAAAATTCTTGTCATGCTTTTGAATTTCCTCAATAAGCTTGCTCAATATGTGTACATCCCATTTATCCATTGTACCAGGTACGGACTGCTTATTTTGAAGGGAAGAACCGCATTGATTCTCTGATTGCAGACATTGGCTCTTGGGGAGCTAGTGCATTGACAATACATGGTAGGTCACGTCAGCAACGCTATAGCAAGCTTGCTGACTGGGACTACGTATACCAATGTGCCAGGAAGGCCCCTAATACTTTGCAAGTAGTGGGGAATGGAGATGTTTTTTCATTTGTAGACTGGAATAACCACAGAACTGAATGCCCTGAACTTGCTACGTGCATGATTGCTCGTGGTGCACTGATTAAAGTTAGTAGCACCTTGGTTCAAATGACCATTCTCTCATTTATTGAAGTTTGCCGTTGAGTATTATATCTTAATGCTGGTTGTCCTTATTGGGAACATTAATGTTGCCTGGTGATATAATGTCCTTGAAGGTGGTAGTGGTATTGTATCACCTTGCCTGGACAAAATTTTCAATTTTGAATTGTGTCAACTAATGACTGTGTTGTGCTGGTGCAGCCTTGGATATTTACAGAGATCAAGGAACAGAGACATTGGGATATTAGTTCTTGCGAGCGACTAAATATTCTCAAAGATTTTGTTAATTTTGGCCTTCAGCACTGGGGTTCTGACACAAAAGGTATGTTTTATTGATGGAGTAGCTGTATTGTATTCATATGTAAAGTCTCTCACTATCGTGATATGATTACAATATCTACTGTTACCTATCTCGTAATTTTTTTTTTCAAAAACAGGTGTTGAGGCTTTTAATTGTATTGCCCAAAGCATCCAGATGAGACAGCTTTGGCTCATGTTTAATTTCTAGCAAAGGATACAATAGTCAATAAGTGTATTTGGGGAGGGGCCTTTTGGACCAGGAACATATATAGTTTAGAGGAATGCCATTTAAGATAGTTACAATTGCTCACAATAATGTATATAGTATGTGCAATGGTTTGTTAGCAAGTATTGTGTTTTTATTCCCCAGTAAGTGTGCCCATTTTCTCTCGTTTTCTTACTATTGTGGCCTTTCTATTTTTTATATTTCGTTACAGGAGTGGAGACAACCAGGCGTTTCTTGTTGGAATGGCTTAGCTACGCTTGTAGGTACATACCTGTTGGTCTTTTGGATGTGGTTCCGCAACGATTAAATTGGCGTCCACCATCATACTATGGGCGTGATGAGCTTGAGACGCTGATGGCCTCGGACTCAGCAGCTGACTGGGTATGCAATTTCCGTTTTATTTCAAGTTATTCAGTCTCTGTTAATTTCTTTAGGGAAAATAACTTTTTGGAGGTATATTTTGTGACATTTGCTGCTTCAAACATCAGAAAATGGTTTTGATCAATAGGATGTAAAAGGTAGGAAAGCATCCTCTGAAAGATGAAGATTGAGACTAATAACACCAACCAATTATCTATATACATCTTTTATGGAATAGTTTTAATTATAATCTTTTAAGTCATCTTCAATTAAACAAATGGGGATATAATTAATTCATGTTTGAATTTAAATAAAAAGTTTAATTAATGAAAATTTATGAATGAAAATAAAAATAATTATTAAGGAAATGAGTAGGCAATCAAAAATACCAATAAGCCCGCCTAATATGAAATCACTTTCTGTAAACTTCTTGCAGTCTATTATCCTTTGATCATATTTCTCATTAAAACATCTAGCTGTTGGAAAATATCCCAGTCCCTCGTACTGTTAAAAAAATGTTTTTTGATTTACACTTGCCTTTTCATGTACAGATACGAATATCAGAGATGTTACTTGGCAAGGTTCCAGATGGCTTTACATTTGCACCAAAGCATAAATCAAATGCTTACGATAGAGCTGAAAATGGTTGATTCTGCAGTTTATTTGCAATACTGATTATGATGAGAGTCATTTTCAATACTGACTCATGAAGATGTGCCTGTGGGATATTTAAAAAGCTGAAGATGCATATGTGAGCATTCTTATGGATTGGGGAAGCGGTTCATAGTTGACCTTGATTTTTGAACCTATATACAATAGCTTCACTTCTCTAATAAGAAACTGAACATTTCATAATCATTGACATTTGAAATGTAACTAATAATTGTTTTTCGAGTCAGGCCAAATTGCAGGCTCGGGCCAATATTTATTTTTATACTTGCAGTGCCCATTTATGCCACCGCTTTATTAGTTTTTCTTTTGTTTCTTTTCAACTGTTTGGATAGAAGTGAGGATGGTTGGTAGAGAGGATTTCCATTGGAAGGGATTCATGTTTCAATCTGATATATGAGGTTCCCCGTTCTTTTATTTGTTGAAGTGGTGTTAAAATTGAAATGGTTAGTTAGCCAAACACGTATCACCACCACCCACGAATAGCTTGCCATAGTAGTAATTCTGGTAATTAACCGTATTAATAATTTCAAAGGAAGACGCGTATGGATTATGGGTTTATGTGCAGAAAACAAAGTAAACTTGGTTCCGTTCAATTGTGAAGACATTGTAGTGTTATGTCTTGGAGAGACGAAAATCTGCTCTTTGAAGATTGTTGTCAAAGCGGGACATTCCTTCCATTATGCAATAATTGCACGTGAATAGATGAAGAGTCGTTGTGTTTCTATTTAAAGAATAACACATTGCCATTTTCAACAAATCAAATCGATTATTCAGTAAAAAACTTTTTTAAATTGTCCAATCGTGTATGTCGTTTGTTAAATTATTAAGGTTCACAACTACTCAAAAAGTTTAACTATTTCAATGATATATCAACACATTATATTAAAAAATTTGATTGACTGCGGATCAAATTTAAACTATAATCATTAAAGGAAGAAAATGTAATTTTGACCTTTTCTTATTAGCACAACATCCAAAAGTAACCATGTGAAATATATATTAATTTCACACCTTAGGACTCTTTAAGAGCTTATCCATAGTTACATATCCTGTATTAAAATAAATAAACAATGAAAAATCTAGAGTTCATTAAAAAAATAAAAATCAAAAAACCTCCCAAGTTGTTAATGTTATACCACTGACCAAAATTCTAAGTAAAGAAAACTCAAAATATCAGATCCGAAGATACGACCAACAATAATTATGGAGCATTGGAATCCAATTTTCTGAATTAGATGAAGCAAACTGTTGTATCTGTCCAGTACTCATATTTACCTTGTACCATATGTGTTGATTGGGTACCCACTCTAGAAAATCACAAATAGGACAATTGTCTGTCAGGTACTAACGATCTTCACCTCTTTCTGATTTCGGTTTGGTTGAACCCAAACCCCATCAATAGATTCGACACTCCCATTCAAGCCATCGTCCACAAAGTCACCAACCCTCTCTTCACTTTAATTTCTGTGGGTTCAACAGGGTACATCCCAGAGAAGCAAGCATAACAGAAATTGGGAGAATCATCACCCAACAACTTCTTCAAGCTATCAAGTGGAAGGAAAGCAAGTGAATCCGCTCCAATAAACTCCCTTATTTCATCAACACTCATCCTATTAGATATCAACTCCTCCGAGCTTGGTGTGTCCACCCCATAGTAACATGACCCTATAATTGGGGGGCATGCAACCCTCATGTGAACTTCCTTGGCACCTGCCTCCCTTATCAACTTTACAATTTTGGATGATGTAGTTCCCCTCACAATTGAGTCATCCACAACCACAACCCTCTTCCCTTCAAGTACAGCACGTACCGGTGAGAGCTTCAACTTCACGCCAAAGTCCCTAATCTTCTGAGAAGGCTCAATGAAAGTCCTCCTCACATAGTGTGACCTAATCAACCCCTGCTGAAAAGGAACCCCAGCCTTAGCAGCATAACCAAGCGCAGCCACCACACCAGAATCTGGAACTGCTATCACAACATCACAATCAACAGGGCTTTCAGTGGCCAGTATTTCTCCGAATTTCCTGCGAGATTCATACACAGACCTCCCAAAAACCACAGAATTGGGCAATGCAAAGTATATGTGTTCAAAGATACATTGCTTTGGCTGTGGATGAGACATTAGGCAAAAGGATTGAATCCCATTCTGGTCAACAACCACAACTTCACCAGGGTACACCTCCCTCTCATATGTGGCTTCAATCAAATCAAGGGCACATGTCTCGGAGGCAAAAACAACAGCACCATTACATCTCCTCCCCATAACCAAGGGTCGAAATCCAAAGGGATCCCTCACAGCAATGAGCTTGTCCTCAGTAACAAACACAAAAGAATAAGCCCCTTGAAGCTTCTCGCATGCATCAACAATCCTCGAGATGAAAGCTCCGTGCTTTGAGGTGGCAATAAGATGGAGCACAACCTCAGTATCAGAACTCGTGTTAAAAATCGACCCATTGTCTTCAAGTTTGGCCCTTAAGGAGCGATAATTGACCAAATTGCCATTATGAGCAACCCCAACAGAGCCAAAGCGATACCCTGCAACGAAAGGTTGAACATTCTTGAGCATGGATTGGCCTGCAGTTGAGTAGCGAACATGGCCAATAGCCAAAGTTCCAGTTAACTGATGAAGCTTGGACTCGTTGAACACTTCAGCGACAAGACCAACACCAGTTACAGATTGAAGAACGTTGTTATGAACAGCAACAATCCCAGCACCTTCTTGGCCACGGTGCTGGAGAGCGCGCAGGGCCAGACAGCATAGACGAGATGCATCTGGATCACCGTATATACCCACCACACCGCACTCTTCGCGTGGCTTTTCGTCATCATCATCATCGTGCAAAACCTCTGCAGAAATTTGGTTTTTGCATGAAACTGAAACTGGGAAAGGTGTTTTATGGGACTCGGAGGCGGCGTTAGAAAGAGCGGTTTTGGGAAACGAGGTAGGGTTTTGGAGGGAAAAACAAGTGTTGGCGTTGAAAGGGAAAGACAATGATTTGCAGAGGAAAGAGGAAGACAGGGTACAAAGATTTGGCGCAGCCATATGGTTCTTTTGCGACACGAACAGAGGAAGATCAATAACAAACACAAACACACCCACACACCAATAAGCACTGAGCAAAGCAATTCCTCCAAAGATTTCCCTTTTGAATTCTTAATTTTCAATTTTTTTTTTCTGATTATACTAAAATTGGGAAAAACATCTATCCTTTTAAAGGATAGAAGCTTATATCATTTTAGATCATAACCATTGATTTCTGTCTATCAACGGTTATAATTGATTGGATCAAAATTATTAATTAATTAATAATAAATTTGGCCCATTAAATTTGACCCAATAGACTATAACCGTTGATGGACAAAAATCAACGATTATGATATAAAATGATATAAGCTTCTATCCTTTAAAACGACAGATGTTATTCCTAAAATGAAATATATAAGAGTAACAGGATATAAATTTTGATTTTGATCTATTATCAATTTAATTTCTTTTATTATCTTTTAGTATTATTGATGGAGGATATACTTACCCTCTCTTATTCCTTACGATCTTTTTACAAATTAAATTATTTATTCTTATTTGATATTATTTTATAATTATTGATTTGATTTTAATTTAGTAATAACAAAATGATCATAAAAAGTATAAAAAAATATAAGTATAACCTTCCCCTAACTTATATTGATATTATTTTATTGAATATATCTAATTAGAATTTTTTTAAAAAAAGCTAAAAAGATTACATACCAATACATAAATACTATTAATGAACAGATTTTAACACTATCTATGCATCGCAATTAAATAAAAAGCGATACTTTTTATTTATAAAATTGTTTTTAAATCTTAAGGATTTGAACTTGACATATAAAGAAAGAAAAATGACATGCTAACCACTTAATCAAATTAATTTAATTATTATATTACTTATATTTATATATTTATTATTTAATTATTATATTACTAATATATTTATTATTATTTATTTGAAATGGATTCGAATAACTCTCTGCCAATTGTTTCTTTTTTTTTTTTTTTTTTCCTCACCTTCCATAGAAAAGAAAAGAATATTAAGAATTGAAATTTCATCAAGAAAGATAATAATGTTGTGAAATTAATAAGAATGAGAAGAATAGAGATAAGCGAGAGATAGGGAAATGTATATTGGTTATCTTATCATACTACAATGATGCCTTATTTATAGACTCGGGAAACATAAAGATTACAATAACTGAAAATATTCTCCAACGGTTATAACGTCTGCAACAGCCATAACACGTCTGCAACAGCTATAACGTCTCTAACGATTATATAACGGTTTCACAGCCAATAAATTGTTTATAACAAATAATTTATTCTTATATTAATCTAATTCTTACGTCTTCAGTCAGTAAGCAAGTGCATGCACGACATGTTTATTTATAGAATCGGAATCTAGCTGTTTGAACTTTGAAGTATATCGCTAATTTATCTATCGCTAACCTCAAGGATAATTATGAATAAACGAATCAAAGTATACGAGAAATCTACGCAGCAGGAAGAAAGAGGGAACAAAAAAATTCTTTTGGCTGTACTGAATTAAGATTTTAAAAGATTATTTAAAAATATAATGACTTTAAAAAAAATTTAATATTTTTTTATAATCAAGATTTAATATTAGTGAATTTGAAATTATTTATTATTAAAATTTATAAGATTTGTAAGGATATGATGAGTTTATTATTAAAATTTATAAGATTTGTAAGGATATGATGAGTTTATTAAATTTTAAAAAATCATATGAAACTTTAGCAAATTTGGAGGCTTCTGGGTTTAAACACTTTTATAATACAATTGTTGCAAATTCGAACTGTGTTTGTGAGAGATAAAATATATCAAATGAGGCGTCATTTTGCAGATCTCAAAAAAATTTGTGGAATAAAAAAAAAGTACTTGATTCTGATACTCGTGTCAAAAGTTATGGTCTTTCGAAATTTTACGGATAAATGGTTGATTTTTTTATGTCACATGTCAACAACAAATGAGTCACGGCTATCTTAGGCACGAATGCCTTGTGGGTTACACCTAACTTTAGGGGTGTCAAAACGGGTTGACACGACACGAATTCGACATGACACGAATACATCAACACTAACACGACACGAATTTTTATTCGTGTCAAAATATTAAACACTGACACGACACGAATTTTTCGCGAGTTGACACGACACGAATAACACGTAAAATAGGGGTCAAAACGGTAATTGACATAAATATATATATATATATATATATATATATATATATATATATATATAGAAAAAATATCTGACGGGATAAAACCGTCTCTCTATCAAGACGACAGATCCATTTTATGCTCTGTATATATATATATATATAAAATGAATCGAAATTAAAAAAAAAAAAAAGATAAAAAAAATAATTTTAAAAAAATACGGGTCGATACGAACACGAATACATCAGCACGAACACAACACGAATTTTTTACGTGTCATTTTTTCGAACACGAACACGACACGACACAAATTTTTTTGCGGGTCAACCCGAACACGAATTTTCGTGTCGTGTCGCGGGTCGATCCGCGTGTCAAAACCTATATTGACTCCCCTACCTTACTTAGGTGTGAATGGTCACACACAAATTGAACGCGAATGAGTGCAATATATCCGTAAATTAATTCAAAGTAGTTATATTTTTATAATTATTTATTAAAACAACAATATTCTAATTTTTTTCCGGTGATTTTGGAGAATCTTCTTGCACGTGTGTTCGAGAATCTCTTGTTTAAGAACCCCTCTCTCTGTATAATAAAGATTCTGTCAAAACAATAAGAATATCGGGATAAAGGGGCTTTTGCAGTATAGACGAATGAGATGGAGCCTTGGATGGCCAATGATCAAGAGAAATGGGTAGCAAACATAGGGACGATATAGGATTGACTTGGACCATAGCCATACCACACTTATTACTCATTGAGTCATTTACACGCTTTCGGCAGCTTTGTGTATATATGTTTTTTTCTTTATTATAATAATTAATAAATGGCACCAATAAACAAATAAAAACAAAATTTGGAAATTGTATGCAAGTTTTTTCTTAGAAAGAAATCAATATAAATATAGATACTGTATCAATAATAAAATATAAATATAAATTCATCCATACTATTGTGAAAATAAAAATATACTGAAATGTCTACCAAATAATTTCCTTAAAATATGATGAAAATAATAAAGTAAATGAACAGAGTGAAGACAGACAGAAGAAAAAATGGAGTAGAATTGTTGTGGTGATGACATGATTCTAGGTTGTTGCCACTTGGGATCGCCGGTAGTCAAGCTTGGTGAATGAGCGTTTGTTTCTAATTTGGGTAAATGCTTCATGTTGTGTGGGTTTACTGACTCGAATCATGAATTGGAGTCATGTGGTTTGGGCAGTTGGGCCTTGTGGGGTTTGGGTTGTCAAGTGTAATACATCAAGAAAAGAATATGGCAAAAAAAATAAAATAGAAAGAAAGATTATATTTATAAATTTTTTATTTATAAACTCTGAAAAATTAAAATCAAACTTAGTAGGTGACCGGTCATACTCAGTGTAATTTGTAAAAAAAAATTTGTAAACAGATCATTTCCCTAATAATATAATAATAATAAAGGTTTGGTGTTTGTCATTTTAAATAACATAAATTATGTCATTTTAGGAGAAAGAATAAACACAAAAAATAAAAATTATGGGAGAAAGAAAATGGTTGGTTTTTTTAAATTTAAAATTTAAAATGACAAATAGTTCTCCGTGATAATAATCGGAGAAGAACAAAGAAAAAGTAAACTAAAACAAACGGCTTCACCTAATATTGAGGGTTTGATACCGGAACTTACTCCTTCTTCGTATATGTTTGGCCACCTCCTTCCCCTTCCCCTTCCCCGTAATAATAATAAGAAATAAGAAAAAGTAAACTAAAAACCTAATATTGGGGGGGTCAGTGCTCTAGGGTTTGATACTGGAACTTACTCCTTCGTCTCTGTTATATATGGCGCCACTATCATTTGATCAGTTCCATGTTTTTCGTGCAGTATCTTTTGTACGCTTCCTACTCTCCATAAAATGAAACATTATTTATTATTAGATTATAGTCTGAGTCTCACATCCCATGGATTCTAATTGGTAGGTCGCTGCAATGTCCGCTATCTCCTTGTGCACCATTTATGGAGTCGGTAAAATAATCGAGGTTTTCTTCATTTAAATCTGTTCCTAGTTTTTATAGAGAATTAGTGGAAATCACTAGCATTGTTTATATGGGTGAAAAACTCATATGATGTGGTCTACGTTATATGATGTGATATGGGAGAATCTTCTTGAACGGCTATTCGATAATCTCTTGTTTAAGAATTTCTCTCTGTACAATAAAGATTCTGTCAAAACAATAAGAATCTCGGGATAAAGGGGTTTTTGCAGTATAGTCGAATGAGATGGAGCCTCAGATGGCCAATGACCAAGAGAAATGGGTAGCAAACATAGGGACGATATAGGATTGACTTGGACCATAGCCATACGCACATATGGGTGGAGATCTCTCAACTCCACTACTTCTCACAAGAAATAGTTGGTGGTTTCTTGGTGAGGAGAAAAATCTATACAACTTTGTAGTTTACACTCTTTGCTTTCATGGATTCTAGAGAGAGAGTCATTTTCAAGCTTTCTTTTCTTTCCTCCTATGGTGTTCCTTGGACTTGGAAAATGGTGGGTGAGTGTTATGTGAGTTGGTGAGGAGAGAGACTGTTAAAAGCTGAATTTTAACATTTCGCATGCCTGCTTGCTCCAACGCTCACTCGAGCGAGCAAAGCAGCAAGTAAGGTAATTTAACCCGCCAGAATGCTCGCCTATTGAGCAAATCGTCAAGCAAGAGACTGTTTTGACTTTTAATTCTCTTTTACATTTTCCTTTCTAGCAATACTTTGCATTTCTAAAGTATGTTTCCCTCATAATTCTTGTAAATTAACCTCTCACTTTTTTATTCCAAGTTTTAGACAATTTCTTTATTTAACCCAAAACTCTCTGTACTTTCCTTTTATCTGTTAAAAACCAATTTACTTGTATCCTGTACTATGACAATATATAGGACTATAGTTTTCCCCCGCGTTTGGTCATACACATGTGACTAGAAATGCAACTTTGGATTTCTCCGGCCAACTTAAATTCTTCAGTCAGTCAGACAATTATTAGCAGCTTGTTTCAGTTGTTTGCATGAATTAAATGTAACGAAATAGAAATAAATAAGTGCAGAGTGCAAAGGCATTTTTCAACATGACAGTACCGTGTATACCTGAGGAAAACCCATGAACACAAGGTACCCCATTAAGTGAATCGAACTTAAGGTAAAAAGAAAGAGCACAGAAATATCACATTCAGATGTACATGAATGTTGTTAATATGTAACTTGTCAAGACCCCTAAATCCGGATTGCAACAGTAAACACTACAAATTCCACTTATAAACAAAGAAAGGAAAATCAATTTACATAAGTCCTTGTGTGTACAGACACATTGGTTTATGCTATATATATATATAGAGAGAGAGAGAGAACCCCAAAATTGGTCTAAAGTCACTTGGGGCGAATCTGTTGACATTAGAAGGTCAGGCTTCATTTTCAGATAATGTCATCACTCACCAGCAAGAACAGCATCTTTCCAGACAAGCATTTTCAAGAAGTGTTTCCCTGCACTGCACATAATTAATCAATTTAATAACTAAATAGATGATGAAAATCTTTTGATGATATTTAAAGCTGACCAAATTTGGGATATAAAATAACAGAATTTTTTTTTTGGGATACAAAGCTAGTAGAAAGCTTAAGACTGAGTACTCATCTGGATAAAACTAAACATAAACCCGACATTGGAATCGGATTTTCTAAAATAGGTTCATTAGAACATACCTACCAACAGTGAAAGGTCTGTCCATATCAGAGAGGTATAGTACTGATGCACTGGGAGGCAGCTATTCCACAAAAATGATACCTTCATCAGGGTCTTCACCACCCCGATCCTCCTCGTCTTCATGTGCTGATGAATCCAACTGCACCTTGTTTTGACCCTCAGTGCTCTTTTCATCCTTTATTTTATCTAATATTGCAATCACCTGAAAAGTTGAAGTGGTGGGTGCACCATATCAGTACAAGCTCACAGCACACTCAATAAAAGAGTGGCCTACAAGTTGCTGAAATTTGGAAAGGAATGGCATGCATACGTGAGCACTAGCCACGGAAACATGCTCATTGGCGATGATATTCATTTTCATCCCAGAACAATGTACAATCCACAATTCCATCATCAGAAACAACAAAGAGAGTAGCAGCATTACAAGTGGCAATAACAGTCTATAAGTTCCATCTTATTTATTATACTCTAGATTGCATTATAAAATATGTTAAGTAGAATAAAAGCAAAGAGGAACTGTTTCAATCTCTATCCACAACCACAAGTCCACAAGGTTTTGGAATATAGACCCCCCAATAAGCAACTTTAATAGACATTGGAAAAATGTGGCTCTTGCCTCTTGATAAAGAAAACTAAGAGATGGTAAAGGAGAGGACAAAATGGAAAAAAGAACTACACAAACTTGCAATTGAATACATACACATGTAACCACATAAAATAAAAGCTGAATATACTTATTCTTACCCTGCTTCCTCTCTCGAAAGACTCATCCTCTATAAAGCGTATCTCTGGAGTTAACCGCAACTTCATACGTCTCCCCAACTCACTGCGAACATATTTAACCTTTGACTTCAATCCAGCAAGGGCTACTTCCTTCCCTCTTTCATCTCCAAAAACAGATACATAAACCTTAACCACCTAAAGACGTTGAGTGAGATAATTAGATGCTAATCAAACCCCACCCCAGCATTGCATCATAGTCATGTCATGACATGATAATAGACATACAAAACAACACGAATGGAACAAATTAAGCTTTGCCTTCCAATTAGATCAGAACATTGAGAGAAAGAGCATACCTGCAAATCGGCGGAGACTTGGACGTCGGTGATAGTGGTGAGGGAAGAGAGGTAACGGTCAGCTCCTAAGGAAGCTTCGGGAAGAACAGCATACTGCAAGACTTTGTCAGTTAGGAGCATATCAGAAAGCTCTCTCATTATTTGCTTCCCCACCATTTTCACTCTCCTCGGATTCGCCATACACCTTATTGTCGAACCAACAACAGCCTTGCCTGAGAGGACACCGCCACGTGTCACGATTGGGGTGATTGTGGTTTTGGTTGAGGTTGTGGGGATGTGATGCCGCCAAGGACACGGCCATGGTAATGCTATCAGTGCCGGGCGAAGCAGGTATGTCATTGCTCTGCTCTAACTTCGAAATTAAACCTCCCTAAAACAACCCTCTTTGCCCTGCAGATCAGATTCATATGCAGCTAAGAATAAAGAAACAGATATTTGAGTCTTAATAAAAAAAAAAAAAAAAAAAAACCTTATTGGGCTGTCCAGTTGGCCCACAGTGTCTGAGAAGCCCATCAAACTGGACTTTTGTCAGGTCTTCAATGGGCTCTAACTGACCAAGAAGCTATAATGGGCTTTTCTGTTTGTGTTAGCCCAATGATAAAGTATGGAGGCTGTTCGTTGTTGCTGCACGTGGTGGCAACGTATTACAGTGACAGGCTTGCACTTTGGATAATTATATATTGGGAAATTCTACGTATCCTAGTGAGTTAGCGTAATATTTAATATATTTTTTAATACAGAAAGTCATCTTTATTGCCAATATAATGATATGAATTAAACTGATTATTCCATACCTTTTATCCATCTTCCATCTTAGAACAACCGGAGGGATGAAGAAAATGTAAGCATCAAACCTTCGTTCCTTCCCCTTGGTCATAATTATTATATTGTAACCATTTGTGTTTCGGGTTTTCTTTTTGGGACTTATTAGAGCTTGTTTGAATTTTTTTAAAAGTTAAAAGCTATTTTTAAATTAAAATTAAAAAAAAGCTTAAAAAAACACAAAAAGTTATTCGGTGGTTATATGAAATTTTTAGTTTAAAAATTACTTCAAATCTCAAATCACACATTCAAGAAAAATAGATAAGAACTTAAAAAAAAAAAACTCTTCTTAAGAGTTTTTGACTTTTGACTTTTTTCTTCATTATAAAAAATATTTATTTTTATTATAAGAGCTTTTGTAAAAATTTGTTTAACCTAATTTTTGCTTATAAATAGAAGAAAAACTAAAAAAAAAAGAGAGTATCAAAACATGTACTTAATCTCATATTGCTGAAAACAAGTTGTTGGAGATATGTTGTCGCATATTATAGAGATAAATATGTGATTCCTTTTAGTTTTTTTTTTTTTATAAAAGATGAGTCTCACATGTTTATCTCTATAATATGAGATAAGATGTCTCCCACAAAAATAATTTTCCTTTTTTTCACTGATGTGGTTTGTGTTAATGCTGGGGCCATCATATATTCCCAAATCTTCAATTATATCTATATTTTAATTAGGATTACTGTGTTAATTAGATACTGGCAGACAGGGAAATCATGGGATTAAGATATCAAACACTACAAAACAAAGTGTAGTCGATTTTCTCTTTCATGTTAATTTGTCCGTTTTTTCCTTAACCCTTTTCATGTTTGATTAATAAAAAAAAAAGGAGTTATTAACTTTATGTCACATAAAATAAATATTTTATGTAGGTAAAATAAAGTTGTGCGATCCACAATTTTAAAAAAATAAAAAAGAAAAGAAAATGGAACAAAATTCTATAGATATACAATATAAGAAAATTATTTTATATGACATAAAGCAATTATTTCTCGTAAAAAAAAAACTGTTAATTGAACCTGAGTATTGTTGTACCAATTCTCTACTGGGACTCAATATTTATTTGATGTTTTCTTCTGGCTGCTGCCGTTCATGATTTTTTTATTAATTTTTGGTCAGTATCGGCTACCATTCAATTTTATTAATAAATTTTGGTCAAGAGCTTGCATTACGTTGTGATAAAGTTCCCTCCCATTCTCGCACATTGAAGTCAAATCATAGTTTCTAAAAATAAACAATTCCCATAGTTAATAATATCAAAAGTTTCTAACTGCAGAATGACTGTTCCGTTATTTGATGGCGCCATTGAAGCCCAACGGCGCTATATGTTCTTCCCATTTTTCTTTTAATCTTGACGATTGGTCACCGCTCCCCTTCTTATGCCCTTGATAATACAATAACATATATCTAATTTGTAGTATAATGAAAGCCACGAGGCGTTTATTACGTGGTTTAATTTAGATGTTATGCACTTTGAAGACAGAGTTCGGATTTCGAATCATATGGTGTCAGAGCAACATGGAGGAAGCATAATGATTGGATTTTATAATTCTCATCTTATTGGAAATAAAAATTATTTTATATATATATATATATATATATATATATATAAGAGGATATTCTTACATCGGTGTAAGAGTTAGAAGCCTTACGCTCGATCTTGATCATTGATCCTTTTGTATCCGATGACTCACTTTGCTAAAAAATTTGAGCCCTTAGATATAAGTGAGATCAACGAACAAGATTAAGAGTGTAACTTACACGGATGTAAAATGATCCTCATCATATATACATATATATATATATATATATATTATATAAATGAATAAAGTTTATTTTTATTTTTATTTTTTTATATATAATTTTATTTGGATCTCACATAACTTTATATATATATATATAAAATAAAAAATTATTTCTTATAATATAAGAAATATTAAACTCAATAATTATTTAGAATAAAAACATATAATTTGAGACTGTTTTTACCTAACGAAGTTGTCTTATTTGTTTATTTTTTTAAATTGTAATTTGTTCTGATTATAACATGAAAAGAAAACAATATTTTCGTTTAACAGAGGCCTTTTTTATCATTATTTTTTGTCAGGAATTTGGACAAAGTCAGACGTTAAAAAAATTCAGTTTTTTTATTTATTTTTTTACAAGATAGAGGGAAACAAAAATTAAATCAGTTTTTGTCTGTAGTTCACATGGACTTGACAAAGACTGAGACAACAGACACAATCTCGCAATTATCTTAAACTCCATGGGCATTTTAGTCTCGTCAATCCAAAAATACGCGCCTATTAAGATCCCACCAAACCGTAAAGTTTCAACTCCTCCATACCATCATCCCATTTACAAGTGCGCTTACTTTTCTTTTCTTTTCTTTTCCACACTTCACTACTTTTTCTCTGTTATTTTCGCGAGAAAATGTCACCGGCAATCGGAAATAGCAGCAAGATCCGGCACATTGTCAGAGTCCGGCAAATGCTACTCCGGTGGCGCAGGAAATCGCGCGTAACGGCGCCGTCGGATGTCCCTGCAGGGCACGTGGCACTGTGTGTGGGCCCGAGCAGCATAAGGTTCGTGGTGCGCGCGACATACCTGAACCACCCAATCTTCAAGAAGCTTCTGGTGCAAGCGGAGGAAGAGTATGGATTCTGCAACGAAGGCCCCTTGACGATCCCGTGCGATGAGTCTCTCTTTGAAGAGCTCCTTCGGGTTATGTCACGGTCCGAGTCGGGTCGGTTCTCAACCCTCGAAGATTTCCAGAGGCGTTGCCACGTCGATGTCCCTAGTTTTCTTGACGTCGTAGGAGATTCCAGACCCTTGCTTTCTTGACCAGCCTATTTTTGTTGCATAATAATTAGTTAGTTACGAAAAATAGGAGGCAGGTTTAATTATTTATTTTACATATACATTATGTAATTTGTAAATAGTTCAGAAGGGATAGATCGGTCGTTGGGTATTGTAATTTGTGAAGTATGCAAATCAATTGATTCGACTTCAAAGAAATGATTTTTTTTTTTTTTTGATAACAAGAAATGATTTTAATTCAAGATGTGATTTTCTTTTTCTTTTTATTTATTTATTTATTTTAATATATTCATCGACATTTAAGCACTATTCGACCAATAATTTAGGGGCAATTTTTCCAAAATAATTTCCTCTATTTTTATACTCAAATTCGAAAGTTTTAAAATAATTTTCTTATCATTTCAATCAATAATTTTATTCAACTTTTATTGTTTAATGGTTGGTAAAAAATAAAAAACTTTGAATTTATTATGTGCTACATACCTTCTCATTCCTTTTTAATAATTAAAGGCATTCTATTGAAAAAATAATACATATTTATTAGGGATAAATATAAGAATATATTTAATTTATGTTTTTATTTTTTTATTGGTTAGTTATTTAGAATTTTTTTTTGGATATTAGTTATTTACAATTTTAAATTAGAAAAAAATGTTTATCATTTTAAATGGCACAACTTATATCATTTCACTCTTACAAAGAGGTAGAATTCACATCTTTATATTTTTTTTGTTCATTCTCTCCTCCTTTATCTAACTCTTTCTCTCACTTAAAATAACACAACTTTACATCTTATCTTTTAAAATGATAAACATTTTTTCCTTTAAATTAATATATTTGTGCATTTATATAGGATTTGATGTTTGTCCTTTTAAAGAACATACATAAAATTATGTCCTTTTTTTTGGCATGGTATATCCTTTTTTAAACGAGAGAAAGATATACACAATGAAAATTATGAGGGAGAAAATGAATATTTTTTAATTTAAATTTAAAATAAAATATTAATTTTAATTAAAATGACCATATTTAAAAGGACAAATATTTTGGCTATTAAAAAAAAGGACAAATTTTTTCTTATATATAAATATTTCTCATGTAATAAAATTAACTTTAAATTTTTAATAATATTGTTCTTGACTTTTAATTTAAATTTAATTTTTATAAAGCATTTTGAATGTCGTTAAAAAAACAAAAGTGCTGATGTGATGTAGCCAAGATGACGATGAAGAAGATGAAGATTAAGGAAAGAAAACTAGTCTGGTTGTTTTAATAAAGCAATGTCAAGTCTCGTACAAGTTCCGATAATTCCAGCGAGTACATTGAATCAAACCCGATATCATTCTCGTTGGATTCATTTTGATTAGATGTAAATGAACAAATTTCTTTCTCATTTTTCCCCACCACATTAAAGAAAATGGTTTAGGTCACTTTAGTTGAGTAATATAGCGACTTTGCGAGGATGTGACCGGACTTCATAAGTAAAATTACCCGCAAATGGCAGTTTAAGATACATTAGATGAACTCTGCCTACCCCTTTTCTTTTATATCCATTCGTCTAATCGTCTTTTTTTTTTTTGGAGAGGGTGGTGAAAGTTTAATCATCTTTATATTTTGGGAAAAATTATTCTCATATTACATAAGATAAATTTTTCTTTCTATACACTCTTTGATAATTGTGCCACTTTTTTTTAGGTAATAGAGTCCACAAGTTTATCTCTATGACATGAGATAATTTATATCCTTTAAGGTGAAATTAATAAAACCCTTACATTAATACACTGTTTTACTTAACTATGTATTTTGACTATTTTCATTAATTCTAAACATAATTTTTTTTAAACAATGAAGGCACTTAAGAACATAATTTTTTAGGGAAAAAAGGAGGTAGGTGAACTTTTAATATAGGAGGGAATCAAGTACTGTTGTGCTGATCTTGATCATAGTCATTTGAGCACTATTATAGGGGCGTTTGGTACAGGAGAAATTTTTATTTATCCGGGAATCTCAATTTTCAAAAATATGATTTTTACATTCAGTTTATGATAATATTCGAAAATTTAAAATTTAGAAAAATTCAGTTTCCCGGGAATTCGGCCAAATGCCGCGTACCAAACGCCCCTCGGGCATAGACATGCGTAAAGCAAAAGCATAAAGACTCTTATCCACAATCCATTTGCACTGAAGACAAGCGTTTTACTTTTACTGGAGACTGGTTTGAAACGCCTGAGATTATTGTCGGATTGCAATGATGATTGGCTTGTTAGAATATAATTGTGCCAGACACTCAATGGGTAAAAAATTTTAAAAGTAAATTTGTCTTTAATGTAAATAATTAAGAATATAATAAACAAGTTTTCATTTATTTAATTTTAAAAAATTCACTTTAATACAAACTTTAATAATAATTATTACCCTATTGTATTATTCAACATGTTGATGCCAGTACCTGTACAAACTAGTAAAAATGAAGGACCCACATTGAGTGAGTTTGATAGATCTAAAATTATCCAATCCATATTTTCAAAATAAAAAAAATCCAATCAATGGGACGCACTTTTGGGTCAGTTTTAGAGTAGGATCGTGTCTTCTCATCAATTGGACCTTTGACAACATTTTTCTTCATGCTGGCCCTCATGCTGTCATCTACCACTTGCTTGGGATCCAATTTTTCAGAAAAGACTTTTGAAAGGTCAAAAAACCCAGCAAAAGAGAAGGAAAAAAAAAAAGCGCCGCACCCAACTAATGAGACGTTAGTATCATTTAAAATTTCTAAACGACGTTATCAATTAGTTGAGAAAAATTTGAAGATTTATACAAATTAAATACGTTTGTTTAAGGAAGAATAACTGAAAAAGTTTCAGTCTTTTGGGATTTAATTTATATAAACACGTAATTTCAATAGCTAACGCAAAAATTTACTGCCACTTTTAAAGACTAATTTGTATACCAACTCACAGAAGGATTTCAAAAAGACACCTTTTTTTCAAAAAAGACAACACTATTAGGTGCGTTTTATTATCCCTACAAATAAGAATCTCAGTTCTCACCTCCTTAAGCGCCTTTAATCCCGTGCTACACTGCTACATTTATTAACATGCGCTCCTAATTGTAGAGTTCTGTGTGGTAATGCTTGTCTTGTTCGATGATTGCTCTATATTCTCTCCTGTTTTTATTTTTTTATTTTTTATAATAAATATAGATATACCAATCAAAGTGAATTGAACTATGTTGACTAAGTTTAGTTTGCTAATTTTTTTTTTTTTTTAATATGCTTGACTCAACCCATGGTGGATTAATCCAAGTGAATTGAATTGACCCGTTTGGATAATTTTGATTTTTGAAAATTATTAGTTAACCGAATGCAACTCAATTTTCAAATTCAAACCTGATTATTTTTTTAAAAGATAAATTAAATGATATTGTTACAAAAAACTCAAATATAGAAATGCCTCAATTTTAAACTGGTTATCAGCCAAAAAATAATAATAGCACTCTCAGTTTTAAAAGCAAATGGAGTCAACATATTTTCGCAATATATATCAGGAGCGTTAAAACCATCATATTTTTTAGTTTAATATTTCTCTTGCTATATGAGATAAATTTATCTCTTCATTGGTGGAGCTAGAGAAAATACCCGATCAGTGTCAGAAGACTTGTTGAGATATATAGTTCCACATTGGTTGAAGAACAACTAATGTGGGAGTTTATAAGGCCTTAGGCACTCCCACCCAAAAGCTAGCTCAAAGGATGAGAGTGTCAAAGTCCTTATAAACTTCCACATTAGTTGCTCTTCAACCAATGTGGAACTATATATTTGTTTCATTAATTTTGTACAAGTCTTTTAAATAGACTTTATGAAACCGAAGTAACATACATGGAATGGAAGCTGTTGCAGAAATTTACGTACAAGAGAAGAGCGGCTAACAAACCTAACGTAACAAACCTAAAAATAATGGATGTTACACTAGTAAACCCTAAAATAAAGGAAAACAAATAATACAAGTTTAAACCAGAAAATAATAACAAACTAAGTTGTTTACTGTTATCCTAATAATGTTAAAGAACCTTGGATATATCACCTCAAAAGCTAGCTCAAAGGATGAGAGTGCCCAAGGTCCTATAAACTCCCACATTAGTTGCTCTTCAACCAATGTGGAACTATATATCTCAACAAGACTCAACTAATAAAATTGAGCTAGCACCAATCTTATATTATTTTTAAAAACATAACCAATATCAAGGCTATATCATAATTTCTAAAGAAAATATGTAGCATTTTTTAAAATCAACTAGTGCCAAGACACCAACTAGGAACCAAGTGGCTCTACCACTGTATCTCTTACACACACGTAAAAGTCTAGGAGATATATGCTTTCTTTCTTCTTCTTACATGGGCTTACATGGATCTTACTTCTTACATGCTTTTTATATGTGTATAGGAGATAAATTTATCTCCTACAATACAAGAAACATTAAATCCTTATTTCTAGCAAAATATGATTTTTTAAAAACTTTAATGTTTCTACAGTGAATGTAGATAAGTTATTTACATTCACTCCCAAAATAACATCTTTTTGTATTAAAAAATTATAATGAGAAAGACTATTATAATCCTAAACTAAATTTTAATTATAAAAATACATTGATTTCAGTCCCAAAACAACGTCATTTTGTACTCAATGTAGAAAACTTATCTACATTGACGGTAGCCGTGGCGAACCTAGAAAATTTTATTTATGCCTGCACCCAAAAAAAAAATTAATGAAAATTTTAAATGTATTAAAAAATAAAAGAATATAAACAAGAAAAGAAAAGAAAACTTCAACTTCAACTTCAAATTTATTTTTTGAATAAAGTATCTTTTGGATCCTCAATAAAAATCACAGGGTCCAATTTAATTCCTTAGGAAAAAAATCAACTCTTGATCTCTGTGAATTCCAAAATATAATCATGTCAATCATTTTGAGATATTAATGTGGGTCTTCTTTGAATTTTAGAAGGATCACGATTTCGATTAACTGAATCTATTTTGGAATTCATAGGGGTCATGAGTTAATTTTTTTAAGGGATTAAATCGAGTCTCATAATTTTTGTTGAGGATCCAAAAGATACTTTACTCTCTTCTTCTTTTTTTAAATATTTGTGTCTGCATTTATACACAT